TATTTAATATTTTCCTTCTTTATTGTAATTTTTTCTTTTCTTCTATTTCTTTTTCTGCCGTGTTTTAAAAAGGTTCATCACATATTTCAATATTGTGCATACAGAAAAGGTGCTCCTATATTTAAACAATATTCACATATATTACAAAATGTTCAACACGTATTTGAAAAATATCCATCATGTATTTAAATAATATCCATCATGTATTACAAGATATACATCATGCATGAAAAATATTTTATCTTCTGTATTTCTAAATGTTCATCTGTATTTTAAAAATATTCACCATATATTCAAAATATTCATCAAATAGCAAAAGAAGTTTAGTGTGTAGTTTTTAACAATTTTCATTGTGTATTTTGAAACATGTTCCGGTAATTCAAACAATAGTTGTCATATATTCAAAAAAATGTTCAGTGTATATTTCAGAATGTTCAACTTCCATATAAAACAATTCATTGTGCATTTATAAAAAATATTGTATATTTCCAAAAAGTTTGTTGGGTAACTTAAAAAATATTCGTCGTGTATCCAAAAAATGTTCATCTTACACTGACAAAAAAATTACCATATATTTCAAGAAAGTTCATCAGTTATTAAAAATACTTATTACGTAGGAAAAAATTAGCCTGGATTTTATTATTTAAAAAATGATTTTGTGTTATTTTGGATCACTTTTACTAATTAGATTCAAAGTTCCTTCATTTATTTGAAAAAATGAAGAGCGGACAAGTGTTCGTATTTGCGATGGCCATGCCATGCTCATTCATTTCTTGTTGTGTTTTTAATAAGGTCCGTCGCGTTGTTTAAAAATGTTCACATGCATTCAAAAAATGTCATTGTGTATTTAAACAATATTCACATGTATTGCAGAAATGTTTAACATGTATTTAAAAGATATTATCATGTATTTAAAAAATGGTCATAGTGTATTAAAAATTGTGCATCGTGTATTAAAAATATTTTAGCTTGTGTATTTTAAAAATATTCATTGTATATTAAAAATATACTCCCTCCGTCGTGAAATAAGTGTCTCAACTTTGTACTAATTTTAGTACAATGTTGTACTAAAGTTGAGACACTTATTTTGGGACGTAGGAAGTACTTCACTTAACAAAAGAAGTTTAACATTATTTTTTTAATATTATTAATTGTGTATTTTAAAATGTGCTAGTACTTCAAAATTATTCGTCATATATTAAAAAAATGCCCAGCATGTTTTTCAGAATGTTCAACACCTATATAAAACAGTTCATCGTGTAGTGGTAAAAGGTTCACCATATGTTTCCGAAAAGTTGATCGGGTAATTTAACAAAAATTGTCTAGTATCTAAAACATGTGCATCTTCTATTTATAGAAAGTTTATCCTATATTTCAAACAAGTTTGTCGGTTATTAAAAATGTTTATGTTGCATTTTCTGAAAATGTTCATCATGCATTTTAAAATATTCATTCAGTATTAAAAAAATATCCATTGCGTCGAAAAATGCTTAGCATGTATTTTATTAATTTTAAAAAATATCCATCGTGTAATTTAAAATGTTTGATGGATAATTTTGAAATTTTTTGTCAAGTCTTTTTGGACAAGCAGGACAAGTATATGGAATACGTTCACTGGCTTGCTTGAAGAGCTTTCTTTACTTACTTATTAATAATGTATTTAAAAATTTTCAGCGTTCACTTAAAACATGTTCAATGGTGTATCTATAAAAACTTCACTGTATATTTAAAAAAAGTTTGTTAGATATTTAGGAAAATGTTCATCACATATTTGAAAAAATCTTCATCATTGAATACATAAACCAAGTTCAGAAAAAACATAAGACATTTGTGGAAGCTCGTCATTGAAATATAGAAGCGAAGCAAGCTAAGGAGACTGTGGCCAGATTCATGGGGTCATACCCCATTTGATTGACGATGGCCTTTTAGCTCCCTCATATATAGGTGATATCGTGACATTCAGGATCACACTATATAAAAGCATGAGAAATCAATAGTTGAGGTTCCGTAATTTTTAGCAATTGTTACTTATAAAAAACAAACTTAGTAAGAGAACTAGGATTTTTATTATTATTGATTGAAATTAGCAAGATTTGTTGACCTGTGGTTGAAGAATTTCACGGCAATCTTTCTGAATCACTTTGTTACAATATTACCACCTTTCCTTGTGCTTTTCTCGGAATTCCGATCAATTATAGGAAATTGCGGTAAATATAGAAACTTATTCATGGGGAGATAAATATAGAGAACTTGCTTGCTCATAAAGACCTGGGGCATTTTGAGGAAGCTCATCATTAAAATATACAAGCCAAATTATATAATGTGAAAGTCTCCACTAGGTTATGAAACATGAAGTACATGAAAACTCTGTTACAATGCAGTAGTGCTACTTCGAAGCCCTTTATGATATTTGCTAAAACCAGGTGATAATTTGAAGCAAGAGTACACACTAAAAAAGGAATAATAGTATTGCCTCCTCTCTCTTTTTATTTTTATATTCATTTCATTTTTGTTATTTACTATTTTGGGGGCAAACTAATATGTGGAATCCTCCTCGATCCTTGATCCTTTCAGGCCACGAGCTTCAGAGCCCAACCTTATATACACATAGGTTCAGGGGGGGACAAATGTTCGTCTTAATTATTCACTATGCTCATGGCATGCATGCTCATTTGCTATTTTCAGGTTGTGGTTGCCGGCTAAACCGGTTGCTGTCCACTGGCTATTCTTGGATCACCTTTGCTACTTTGATTCCATGTTGCTTGTGTCTGAAAATCCAGCCCCATGTCCATCTCGTATTCTCTCTCAGAAAAAAGCTCCATCTCATACATGGGATACAACACCTCCCCAACATGTCATCCCAAATAAGGTGTTGTAGGCATGGGAAAATAAAAATAAAATGGAGAAGAAAATACTAAACTAAAACATAAATGGACAATCACATATAATAAAAAAGATACAAAACAACAAAGAGAAAAAAAGGAAAATATTTTTGTTGTTGTGTTTTTTAAAAGGTTCATCGTGTATTTTAATATCATGCATACAGAAAAGGTAATCTTGTATTTAATCAATATTCATAGGTATTCGTGGTTATTTTTGGATCACTTTTACTAAATTCCAAGTTGGCAAGTTGCTTGTGTCTCAAAATTCAGCTCCGGCTCTTCCTTGTATTTTCTCAAAAAGAGAGCTCTATCTCGTCCATGGGACATAGGAGAATCTCCAACAGATCCCAAATACTTCATCTGAAATAATGTGTTTTAAGCATGAACAAATGAAAAATAAAAAGGTGAAGAAAAAATAAATTATAAAATAGTGTGGTTGGATGGTTAGGTGGACAGTGGTATTTCCCAGCCCATCAGGGTTCATGTCCTGGTGCTCGCATTTATTCCTGGATTTATTTCTGGATTTCCAGTGATGCGTGTTCAGTGGGAGGAGACGTTCCCATTGACTACGAGGCGTCTTTGGTGATTTCGTCAATATCAAGGGGTGCTCATAGAGATAGGGTGTACGTGTATGTTTATAGAGACGAGTATGTGCATACAGACCAGCGGGATTAGGTGCAGGAGGCTTAGACCCTTTCGTGAGAGTGTAACCTAGTGTAGTTGGGTTGGTGTAGGTAGTTCGTCCATCTGGACGGAATCGACAGAGCTTCGGCGTAGATTTCTGATGTCTCCTAGGGCGGTGAGGTTAGGGCTTCTCATCTTGCGTGTGCGGCGGCGAGTCCAGGAGGGTGGATGCATGAGAGAACTCCCTGGTGCATAAATTTGATGTCCTCTAAATTCAAAAGTCAGACAATTATTTCTTCTTGCAGGTGTTAGACAATTATTTCACCCCCACGCCTTGTGAACATGACTACGTGTGAAGCGTACATTGTTATTTAAATAATCTTGAAAAAAGTGGACCGCCCCCGTGCCGGGCGACTCGAGTGGATCCAATCCCCGCGACCGCCGGGGTAGCCGTCTGATCTCTTTCCCTTCCCTCCGTCGCTATCGGAGGACGCTGTTGGGCTAAGCCAAGGCGGCCGGTGGTGGTGGTGGAGGATCCTCCCTTCCCTGCGTCAGCGGGTCGCACGGGACCTCCTGGCACGTGGAGGCGTCGCCAGACCTGCGCCAGGGCGGCATGCGACTGATTCCTGACATTGGCTTGGGCGGCGGCGTGGGTCGTGCAACGGCCGATCTCGTCGCTCTAGTCATCATGGAGATCTCTGGACCAGGGGCGGCGACCCCGGTAGGCATGGCGGTGGCGCACTCGGCTGGCAGCGCTTGAGGGTGTTGGATGGACGGATGCTTGACTGCGTGGGTGGTGACGTGCCGGTTTATCTGATCCCCGCTACAACATCTCTCCCGCCACACTTGGTGGCTTGCAGTCTTGGTCGTCGGAATCGATGCATTGGTGGGGGCTGGTAGAGGTTGCTTTGGACCGGAGGAAACTCTGGATCGCTAGCTCATCCCAATGGTGGCAATGACCAAGGTCGCCGCTCAACTCATTGCAGGATCTGTCGAGGTCCCTCCCCTCCATCCCGACCCCATGCTCGGGTGAAGACCCAAAATCACCTCAGATTAGCCGGTGGATGCACTGTGTGTGTCGTGCCCTCATTGGAGGTGCTGCCTGGGGTGTTTGGGTGCTCGGTTAGAGGAACCGCTGGCAGAGGACATGGGACCACTCTGTTGGGAAACGTAGCATGCAATTTCAACAAAATTCATACGCTCATGCAAGATCTATCTAGGAGATGCATAGCAACAAGAGGGGGAGAGTGTGTCCACGTACCCTCGTAGAATGAAAGCGGAAGCGTTAGTTTAACGCGGTAGATGTAGTCGAACATCTTCGTGATCTAACCGATCATGTACCGAACGTACGACACCTCCGAGTTCAACACACGTTCAGCTCGATGACATCCCTTGAATGCTTGATCCAACAAAGTGTCGAGGGAGAGTTCTGTCAGCACAACGGCGTGGTGACGGTGATGGTGAAGTAATCCACCCAGGGCTTTGCCTAAGCTCTATGTCAATATGACCGGAGGCGTAAACTGTGGAGGGGGCGCCGCCACGGCTAACAGTTGTTGGTGTGTGTTCTAGGCACCCCTCCCCATGTATATATAGGTGGGAGAGGGAGGGGAGCAGCCTTGGGGCGCCCCAAGTAGGAGGAATCCTACTTGGGGGCCTCCTCCAATTCGGCCTCCCCCTTTCCTTATCTCCGGAGGGGGGGGGGAGGAAGGGAGAATCCTATTCCCTCTATTTCCTTTCCTCCTCCCCTTTTCCTTTCTCCACTTAGATCGGCCCATATGGGGTGCACCAGCCCACAAGGGGCTGGTCTTCCCCGCCCTAGGCCTAATAAGGCCCATATCTTTGCTGGGGGGGGGGGGTGCCTGGAACACCTTCCGGTGACCTGATACGTACCCGGTGCCCCTAGAACACTTCTGGTGTCCGAATACTATTATCCTATATATGAATCTTTACCTCTCGACCATTTCAAGACTCCTCGTCATGTCCGTGATCTCATCCAGGACTCCAAAAAACATTCGGTCACCAAATTACATAACTCATATAATACAAAATCATCATCGAACATTAAGCGTGCGAACCCTACGGGTTCAAGAACTATGTAGACATGACCGAGACACCTCTCCGATCAATAAAGAACAGTGGAACCTGGATGCTCATATTGGTTCCCACATATTCTATGAAGATCTTTATCGGTCGTACTGTAATGACAACATGCGTTATCCTCATACCTAGTTCAATCTCGTTACCGGAAAGTCTCTTTACTCATTCTGTAATGCATCATCTCGCAACTAACTCATTAGTCACATTGCTTGCAAGGCTTACCGTGATGTGAATTACCAAGAGGGCCCAGAGAACCTCTCCGATACTTGGAGTGAAAAATCCTAATCTTGATATATGCCAACCAAACAAACACCTTCGGAGACACCTGTAGAGCATCTTTATAATCACCCAGTTACGTTGTGATGTTTGATAGCACACAAGGTGATCCTCCGGTATTCGGTAGTTGCACAATATCATAGTCAAAGGAATATGTATAAGTCATGAAGAAAACAATAGCAATAAAACTTAACGACCATTATGCTAAGCTAACGGATGGGTCTTGTCCATCGCATCATTCTCCTAATGATGTGATCCCGTTCATCAAATGACAACACATGTCTATGGTTAGGAAACTTAACCATCTTTGATTAACGAGCTAGTCTAGTAGAGGCTTACTAGGGACACGTTGTTTTGTCTATGTATCCACACATGTATCAAGTTTCCGGTTAATAAAATTCTAGCATGAATAATAAACATTTATGATGATATAAGGAAACATAAAATAAAAACTTTATTATTGCATCTAGGGCATATTTCCTTCAGTCCCCCACTTGCACTAGAGTCAATAATCTAGATCGCATCGCCATGTGATTTAACACCAATAGTTCACATCACCATGTGATTAACACTCATAGTTCACATCGCCATGTGACCAACACCAAAGGGTTTACTAGAGTCATTAATCTAGTTCACATCGCCATGTGATTAACACACAAAGAGTACTAAGGTGTGATAATGTTTTGCTTGTGAGAGAGGTTAGTCAATGGGTCTGCCAGATTCAGATCCGTATGTATTTTGCAAATTTCTATGTCTACAATGCTCTGCATGGAGCTACTCTAGATAATTGCTCCCACTTTCAATATGTATCCAGATTGAGACTCAGAGTCATCCAGATCAGTGTCAAAACTTGCATCGACGTAACCCTTTGCAACAAACTATTTGTCGCTTCCATAGCCGAGAAACATTTCCTTAGTCCTCTTTAGGTACCTAAGGATAATTTTGACCACTGCCCAGTGATCTACTCCTAGATGACTATTGTATCCCCTTGCCAAACTCATGGCAAGGTACACAATAGGTCTAGTATACAGCATGGCATACTTTATAGAACCTATGGCTGAGACATAGGGAATGACTTTCATTATCTTTTTATCTTCTGCCGTACTCGGGTTTTGAGTCTTACTCAACTTTATACCTTGCAATACAGGAAAGAACTCCTTATTTGATTGTTCCATTTTGAACTACTTCAAAATCTTATCAAGGTATGTACTCATCGAAAGTCTTATCAAGCATCTTAATCTATCTTTATAGATCTTGATGCCCAATATGTAAGTAGCTTCACTGAGGTCTTTCTTTGAAAAACTCCTTTCAAACACTCCTTTATGCTTTCCAGAAAATTCTACATCATTTCTGATCAACAACATGTCATTCACATATACTTATCAGAAAGGCTGTAGTGCTCCAACTCACTTTCTTGTAAATACAGGCTTCACCGCAAGTCTGTATAAAACTATATGCTTTGATCAACTCATCAAAGCGTATATTCCAACTCCGAGATGCTTGCACCAGTCCATAGATGGATCGCTGGAGCTTGCACACTTTGTTAGCACCATTAGGATTGAGAAAACCTTCTGGTTGTATCATATACAACTCTTCTTTAATAAATCCATTAAGGAATGCAATTTTGACATCCATTTGCCAGATTTCATAAAATGCGGCAATTGCTAACATGATTCGGACAGACTTTAAGCATCAATACGAGTGAGAAAATCTCATCGTAGTCAACACCTTGAACTTGTTGAAAACCTTTTGCGACAATTTGAGCTTTGTAGATAGTAACACTACTATCAGCGTTTGTCTTCCTCTTGAAGATCCATTTATTCTCTATGGCTTGCCGATCATTGGGAAAGTTAACCAAAGTCCATACTTTGTATAGCGATCCGAACTCAAACGGTCAAATCTCTATGCATAAGTGTCATCCCTGGATCGGTAATGCTGACACACACACAATACCTGAAGGATTTATAACAGAGTTTCAATCACACACTTATTACATCGAATATCTCAAAAGAGAGTACTTACTACAATAATATGGGTGAAGGCCATCTAATGAAGATAACAACAAAAGGCTTTGAAGGTAAAGTGAGTCAATCAACTCCAACGGCATAGCTGAGTGCAAGACAACGACCTAGCGCACCTTACTCTTCGTCTGAAAAGTCTACAACATAATATGTTGCATCCGAAAATGGGTCAGCACATGGAATATGCTGGCAAACTAACACTGTAGAGCAATGAACATGTAGCAACTATAACTATATGCATATTTGGCTGGTGGGGGCTCTATGGTTATTTTTGCGGAAAGCTAATTTTTTCCTACAACAAAGGAATATATTTTATTTAACTACAAAGTTTGTTGAAAACATTGAGAGGGTTCCTCCAACTCAATCCCAAATCAGTATTCATCAACCCAACAAATTAATTAATAGAGTGATGAGATCAAATCAATAATTCAAGTACCACATACTCAAAATGTCCATAACCGGGGACATGGCTAACCATGATTAGTTTATACACTCTGCAAAGGTTTGCACACTTTTTCCCACAAGACTCGATCTCCTCCGTTGGATTTCTCGCACTACATGGTGTTTGAGAAACGAATGATCGAGAAACAGTCTTTCAGAAGCATTAACTCTTTACTCTGGGTAGACAGTACCACCTACATCCCCTACATCTGCTAGCCTACCACTGAAAGAGGTCACACAACTTTGTCAACTATGCCAGAGCCCATAATGGCTTGTGGCTGCACACGGAAGTTTCCAGCATGAATAATCTTATGATCCCTTCGAGCCTGGGTGGCAAACCGTAGGATGATCACACGGGTACTCCAGGATATCCCAGGAAAACACTGGATTGCTCTAGGTGCCAAGACAACCACTAGGTGCTCCAGGGTGCCTCAACCAATCCACCCACATGTGTATTAAAGTAGACACCTTAAGTTTAACCATTTATTAAAACTCTCACATATGTCATGGATCACTAAAACCAAACCACGTCTACGAGCATAGCATAGCAATATAATCATAACGTAGAAGTAACTCCCAGGGCTTGAAAAATAAGGCAATAGGTACTACCTCATCACTACTTCCCAATACCCACAAGTATTCAAGTCCTAACCATGAAGTGTTTGAGGATTGAGACTAATGCATAAAAACTCGCAATAAGGGGTATGATCAAAGTGTTACTTGCCTTGCTCACGAGCTGAAAACCCTAGTGACTCATAGTAGCACGCTTCGCACTCCGGAAACTCTATCACAAACAAACAATAACATACATAAGCACTAAAGCAATATATGCAAGGGTAAAACTTAAGAGAAATGATCCAAATTAAAATTTCAACTGAAGAGCTTCAATTTGCAAAAAGAATCAATCGAATTGGAGCTACGAAAC